TTGCAGTAACCGGGATACTGCGTTTACATGCCACAATATCCCAGTTACTATCGGAATAAACCAGCTACAGTATCCTAGTTTCTAATCACCTGGACACTGCCATAACCTGGATACTGAAACCGGGATCCTGCTTTTACATGCACCATGAAGAAACTGGGATACTCAAAAAAACTGATCATAACCCGGATACTCATGTGCATGTCAACACACTCTATGATGACGTCACACTCTCAGAGGTCTTTACATGAGCTTCTTTTACGTCACAAACATGTAGTGACCGGACTCTGGGACTGAGCGTGACAAAAGCAGCAGAGAAACAACGATAATGTGACTCCCCTAAACTCTACTGAAGATGATACGACTGAAGTGATGTAGTGATCTGAAACCTTCACTTTTGGAGAAAGAAAGAACCAGTAGTAAAAAAGATGTAACAGGAGAAAGAGTAACAGAGGAAGGTGTAAAAGAAGAAAGTATTATAACAGGAGATGTAACAAAAGAAGGTGTAAAAAACATGTGACAGGAGAAAGTTTATCAAAAAAAGGAAAAGTGTGTAAAGTAACAGTGTAAAAGAAAGTGTAACAAAAAGAGAAAGAAAGAAAGAAGTGTAACAAAAGAAAGTGTAAAAAAGAAAGTGTAACAAAAAAAAGAAAGAAAGTGTAACAAAAGAAAGTGTAAAAAAAGAAAGTGTAACAAAAGAAAGTGTAAAAAAGAAAGTGTAGTGTAAAAAAGAAAGTGTAACAAAAAGAAAGTGTAAAAAAGAAAGTGTAACAAAAGACAGTGTAACAAAAGAAGTGTGACAAAAGAAAGTGTAACAAAAGAAAGTGTAAAAAAGAAAGTGTAACAAAGAACATGTAACAAAAGAAGATGAGAGCGCAGACCTCCACCAAGGACTACCCCCATTTTTTATATAAATTGAGATAAAATCAGTCTTGTGGATCAGATCCGGATCAGCCTTTGGAATATGAAAGAGGATCCCATTGTCCATCCCTGAGTCAAATTTCATGGGGTTTGGTCAATAATTAACTGAGATATTGTGAAACTAAATGTTTGGCCCCATTTACCACAATGTTAACTAAAATTTCAAAGTGATCCAGAATCCAGGATTTCTTCCGGATCAGCCCCAAAATGAAACCAGTTCTTCTTTTTCATAACTTTTTGAGTTATGTTGCTAACAGACAAACAAACAAACAAACAAACAAACAGACAAACAGACAAACGTCGGCAAAAACATAACCTCCTTGGCGGAGGTAATGAGCAGGATTACTGAAACATGTGTGAACGAAACAAAATGACATTAGAAAAGAGTTAAAGCCTCACTGCGGGACATTTCCTCACATTAGAGCAGGGTTACAGAGGGTGATTCCACATGATGCAGGGTTTTTGAAATCTCTTTTGACAGTGACTGAACATGTGTTTGTGATTTCCTGTAAAGTGAATACTGAACAGCTGCATGGTCCAAACATCCTCCAATAAAATCGCATGAAAAACCTGCTCATGTTTTTCATTGGATAAACTCATCAGGTTTATAAATGTATTTGGACAAAGTCGTTTAAGGACAAAACCTTTGAATGGTTTTGGCTTCAGGGCTCAAATCTGTCTGCTGTGATTTGATTCTCCTTGTTTGTCCTGGTCTAGTCCTTGTCTAGACCTGGTTTAGTCCTGGTCTAGTCCTGGTCTAGTCTGGTCTAGATCTGGTTTAGTCCTGGTCTAGTCCTGGTTTAACTCCTGGTGTAGTCCTGGTCTAGTCCTGGTCTAGTCCTGGTTTAGTCCTGGTCTAGTCCTGGTTTAGTCCTGGTCTAGTCCTGGTCTAGTCCTGGTCTAGTCCTGGTCTAGTCCTGGTCTAGTCCTGGTCTAGTCTTTGTGTCCCACTTGTTCACAGAGACAGTTTTAAACAGAATGACCTTTGGAGCTGAATGCTACTGGGACTCTCCGAAAACCCACATTTAAACAGGGCCCTGAACGCACCGCTGCACCGCTCCACAACACAACACAACACAACACAACACACCCCCTGGAGCCGACGCACTGAGCGGGGGCGGGGGAGTGTCTTGCCCAAGGACACAACAGCAATAATGGATAGAATCTTAATATTGGCAAAATCTTCCATCTTTGTCTTCAGATAAACCTGCACAGAAAAACACATTTGCAAAAACAACACGAGGAAATAAACACAAGATCCGCGCGAGAATGGAACCGCCGACTCTCAGGTAAGAGGGCGACGCTGTACCGCTGAGCCACCGCAGCCCTCCGTCTAAATATAACACGGACCGGTACCTCGTTGGGAGAATGACGCAGCACATTTCTGTTCTTTTTATTGGAAACGAGCTCGTGTTCTGTAGCCTTGTTTTAGTTTAATTACAGACGACGTACTTGTGTTTCTAACTTTAGACCTGTGACATTCGGGCCGCGTGATTAACACACTTTTAATTGAGTTTCGGTCCTGTTTTATGGTAAGAGATCAGCGTGACCGTGGCTTTTTTTTACAAGGTCGGTCTTGTGTGCGCTATAGTTCTAATCCCTGACCCCAGTGGATGATTCTGTTGTAATGTGTAATTTTAAATCACAATATTGATCTAAAACAACTTCATAAAAAAGACAAATGCACTAAGTTCTGCATGAGAAAACTGTGGAGCTGATGTGGCCGTGAATGTCACCACAACCGAGGGTGGAAATAACAGATTACATTTACTCACGTTACTGTAATAGGAGGGTTTCAGTCACGTGATCACGATGACGCGCGAATTTCAGGTGGAGGGCAGGAAGTGAAGACAAACACGACAAACACGGCTCTGGAGAACACAAATGTGGAGAAGAGTTCTTATTGTAAGGATTTAGAGCCAGTAGCAAGACAAAAGTACGAGCAGTTAGTCGACAAATATATTGGACGTGACCCTGATCTTATTGAAAATGAGAGAGTTTTCAACTGAAGTAAAAGATTTGCCGACAATCGAGGCAGAGGAGATCACATATTATTTAGCTCTTCAGACGTCGTTCTACACCAGACAACAGATGAAGGTGTACAAAAGTTTGGAGGGTTATGGGCCAAATCAAGCAGAAGTAAACATCAAGGCCAAAAATTCAAGTTAATGCATCTGATATAAAAATATATTGAACAGATACATATGTGCTCTAGTTTATCAAACTGTTGACCTTTTTTCTGTATCATTTTTGGTTCTAAAGTCCCATACGTTTTAAACAGACCATGTATGAAACATGGAACAAAAATTATTTCCCAAATTTCAAAGACCTGCAAATCATGTCAATAAATGGATGTATTTCATCATATCTTGTGTTATTCCATCTGTGAACTGCTGATGAAGGGACATGATTTTTCAAAAAAAAAGTATGTAAAATGATAAAAATTAGCTTGGAAGGACTGACATATTTTATAGAAATAGTTTCCTTTCATTTTGAAGTAATATTAATGTATTCAGAAGAAAAAAGCCACAAATTATGTAAAATCCTGCACCTTCTACTTGTTTGTACAATTTTCCCTCCGTTACTTTTCCCTCCGTTACCAAAAAGTAAGAGGTTTTTCAACCTAATCTTGTACCATATGGTAGAAAACTATATGAAGCAAATATTCAAACCAGTTTGTTAAGGATATGGAAGTGAGAACCAAGAGTTATCACTGTTTGGATTTATTGACGAAAAAGTGCTGCATATTTCATTCCCTCCGTTATCGACATGAGTTTAAAAATGTTTTGTCTTGAACTTGAAAGAATCTCACAGGTTTAACTTGACCCTGTTGGAGTGTAACTCTTTCCTACATTCTGATACTTTACTTATTTCAATAGTCCCTCTAGTTTCTGAATAAGAGACATTTGAATGTCAAAAATCTGCCCCGTTTCCCTCCGTTACCCTTGACCGGACCCATATCACTTTTTTTGTCAGTGGATGGGTCCTCAACCTTGGTGCCAAACACCTACATGATGTTTATGGTTTGGTCTTCGCCGGGGTGAGTGTTTCTCTTATTTTATGTGTATCGACTGTTATGGGAAAAACTGCAGTGTATCGGCAGTAACCGATCTATCCCAACTATTTAATGTCAACAAACGTCGTTAGCCGTTAGTCGTTAATGATTCGTTTATGTTTAGGTAAACCACAAAAAAAACAATTTAGCTTTGTAACAAACCTATGTTGAAGTGGTCACTGCAGACACGAGCATTTGCAGATTCTGCTCCTCCCGACCACAAACAGGTTTGTAATCCACTTTTTACGGCGTTGTTCTGTCGGCTTTTCCCATTTCTGACCTTTGTGGACGACTATATTCAGTACTCTAAAAAAATCGCTTTTCCTTCTCTCGGTTAGAACGATTGGCACAGCCGTAAACTACACAACACATCGGCATTTTCCTCCAGTCGGTTCACTTCCTGCCCTCCATCTGATTTTGCGTGCTGACAAACGTCGCCCTGTGACGTCACGTGAAACCCACCTACTGAGGGGCTTTTATGAGTAATCTGTAATTTGTTTAAGATGTTTTTGAAATAGGTAATTTTACTTTTACTGAAGTACATTTTGACCCAGGTACCCACCCTCAATACTGAGTAAATTCAGATTGATAGAGGAAAAAAAAAAAAAAAGAAACAATCTGCTGGAAATGAAAGAAAAGTGTGCGGGCTTTTTACAGAAATGTCAGTCTGTCTTGGATCTGGATGATGCTGGTGCAGAGTCACAGATCGAGAACGTTATGGTCGATATTCAAGAAGAAGTGTGAAGAATCCCTCAGTCGTCCAGGTTGAATCCATGGTGAGGAGAAAATTCAGTTTGTCGACTGGAGAAAAGTGAGTCAGAACAGAAGAAGCAGCTTGGATGAGCTGCGAAACATCTTCAGCCAACACACTTTTGTCCAGTCAACAACCTGAATTTTCTCCTCGTCATTCAAGAAGAAGGTGCACTGAATAATTCTGGAGAGGAAAGTGAAGGAAACCCTTGGCCAAACCTCAGCTTATTTGCATTCAAACATAAAATAGGGAATAACATAATAAAGCAGAGCAAACCCTGCCCTGCTGGTGTGAGTGAGCTCCTGTCGTGTGGGAGTCGGGCTGTGGCTGCTGTCAGGACGACCTGCACGTGTGGGGTTAGTGCAGTGTACAGGCCGAGGTGCATCGTGACACTGTGGTGGTACTTCACACCCGGGACCGAGCTGCCGCTGGAGCAACTGGTGCAAGTCATGGACCAGAGCCGGTGCCGAGTGGAGCAGGAGGTGGCCAGGCTCAGCAGTGAACCCTAACAGCAGCAGCAGCAGCAGCAGCAGCAGCAGCAGAAGCCCAGCGGTCAGTGCACTCTCCTGCCCGCACACAACACAAGACTGCGGGGTTTAGAACAGATCCAGCCGGGCCTAGCTCTGCCCTCACAGTCCCACTTCACTGTGGGTCTGTTGAGTGGAAAAAGGTCGTTGGATCGGCCACAGGAGACTCTTTGATCCACTGATGAGATCCTGGTTTTGTGTTTTCTGTTTGTGCAGAAAACTCAGTATCACTGGACACAGCTTGGGTTAGACTTGGTGTATACAACAAGGGTTTAGTCCTGGTTAAGACCTGTTTTAGACCTGGTTTAGTCCTGGTTTAGTTCAGTCGTCTTTATAAATGTAGACAGTTTGTTTGTATCACCTAAAAGTTGATTAAAACAACTTGTCCTGGAATAAATTTATGACTCATCCTTTTTTACATCAAATAATTGAAAGTAACTTTAACTCACATTACATTTTAAATGAAGTACTTTTTTTTTACTTTTACAAGAGTAGATTTTTAGATTTTTACTTTAACTTGAGTAGGAATTAACCAAAGTAAAGCTGTTTTTACTTAATTACAATTTGTCAGTATTTTTCCACGTCTGACCACAACAAAGCTGTGGGCTCTTCTATGGAGAGAGAGAGAGCTGCACGTCACACTAGAGAGTAGCAGATAATTATTTATTTGTTTTATTTTTTGGACCAACCTGAGAAGACGACACTGCCAAATCCTTCTGTCTGTTCATGTTTAGGAAATGAACACTGAAAGCCTTGTATATTCAATTATATTATTTAGTGCGACAAACTGAAATTGAATCTGAAATTGTGATGGATCGATTTGAAGGAAACGATCTGTCCCCCTGCTGTAAATATTTGATAAATGCACTTGTGTTCCTCCCCCCGCCCAGACCCTCCATTCTACATGAATATAAGAAACCCAAATGAGCAGAAGAACTGAGCCGCACCACTGCCAAAAAGCAAATAGATCAAATTCTGACTTCACATTTCTGCAAATCCAATCTTTCTGAAAGCTGCTCATTTTTCTCCCCAAAACTCTCCTCTCCACTCTGATCCAACGAGACCCCGAACAGAGCCAAAACAGACACGAGTGTGTGGACACGTGTTTATCACAGTGTGAGGACTAAACTGTACACACACACACACACACGCACACGCACACACACAGGCACACACACACACACACACACACACGCACCTGACGTCTGGTCCATGACGTACATCAGCTTTTCTCCCTTTGCTCCCTCATCAAAAACGTGAAGATGTTTGAGATGTCATCCATGCATGTTTGAGTAATTTAGCAATCTCTCCCAGGTTCTCTTCAATCCCACATTTACAGTTAGCAGCATGAGCCTGTACAAGACTCCGCCCATAAGCCCATGACTCACGACAACTCTCCATAAATGTACAAAAACATGATATAAAACTTTGCCTGGGTTCATTTTTGCACTGAAATAACATGATTTTGTGAGAACTACAACTTATTTAACAGCAATGGACAAAATGTACTTCTTGTACTCATGTACCCTATTTTCCGCACTATTAGGCGCTCTTCATTATAAGGCACACTGTCATTAAATGGTCATCATATCTTGTGTTATTCCATCTTTGAACTGTTGATGATTTTTTTTTTTTTTTTATGTATTTAAAATGATAAAAATTTGCTTGGAAGGACTGACATATTTTATAGAAATAGTTTATTTTCCTTTTGAAGTAATATTAAAGTATTCAGAAGAAAAAAGTTGACAAATGATGCAAAATCCTGCACCTTCTACTTGTTTGAACAATTTTCCCTCCGTTACTTTTTCCCGCCGTTACCATGACCTTTCTTAATAAAAAATCTCATGAGTCAAAAAGTAAGAGGTTTTTCAACCTAATCTTGTACCATATGGTAGAAAACTATATGAAGCAAATATTCAAACCAGTTTGTTCAGGATATGTAAGTGAGAACCAAGAGTTATCACTGTTTGGATTTATTGCCCAAAAAGTGCTGCATATTTCATTCCCTCCGTTACTCACATAAGTTTTTTTTTATTTTTTGTCAACAACTTGAAAGAAAATCACAGGTTTAACTTGACCCTGTTGGAGTGTAACTCTTTCCTACATTCTGATACTTTACTTATTTCAATAGTCCCTCTAGTTTCTGAATAAGAGACATTTGAATGTCAAAAATCTTCCCGTTTCCCTCCATTACCACTTGACCAGACCCACTTTAAAGGAAACCCAACAGTGTGATGTGTGAGTGGTTTTGTTTGTTTGTTCGTTCACGGTGACTCTGGGCTTTGTTCAGTTGTGGCGTGTAGGGAGGGTGTGTCTGGGACCAACGGATTGTTGGCGTGTTCGCAGTGACTCAGTTGTGTCTAGAAGTGGCACATTGCACTCGCTTTTTCGGTTCGTTCCTCTGTTCCGTTCCTCGTCGGCGTGAAGTGATGAGTGTGTCTGTGGGTGTTTTTCGTTGCGCGGTTGCTGTCTGCTCCGTGTGTGTTTGTGTGTTCTGTGTGTGTTTGCAGTTTTGTAGTTGACTGAAGTCGTGCTGGGACACCTGAACGGATTTGAGTATAGGGCGCTCTGGATTGTGGTGCGCGGTCGTTTTTTGATGGGGTTGGAGGCTTAAGAGTGAGTCTAACAGCCCGGAAAATACGGTAGTTGAAGTTCTGTGTTTGATGAGTAACTTCTACTGCAGAATCACCAAAACATTTATAGGTTTTACAGTCGCTTCTCACAAACCCACAAATATTGAATCATACCAAAGTTCTTCTAGATAGAGAAAAGTTCCATATTTGGGGCTGGGGCAGTAGTAGTTCAGTTGGTGGAGTGTTTGTCCACTGATCAAAAGGTCGGCGGTTCGAATCCCACTCTCAACATTATAAAAACGGTTGAGCGGTCAGACCCACTGACCCACAGGGTGGCGGTGCGATTCTATCTCCCACAGATGAATGCTGTTGTGTTCTTAGCAGTGTTGTGGAGTAACAGATTACATGTACCAGAGTTACGTAATCAGAGTACAAATTATGAGTAACTGTATTCAGTTACAGTTACTGTTTCAGTGAGTGGTAATTGGATTACAGTTACTTTGTTGAAATAAATGGATTACATGGAGGTATTTTCCTGTTTTCACATTTTGGGCTAAAACCAGAACTCAAACCAGGTCTAAATCAGGTCTTAACTGGGACTAAACCAGGTCTAAACCAGGTCTAAACCAGGTCTAAACCAGGACTAAACAGTATGACACTAACAGTAGGTGGTCATAATTTCAGGCAGCAGTGACTCATATAAAAATAATTTCTCTATCAATAATATTTTAAATATGTTTAAGTAAAGTTTGGCCTTTTTATTTTCTTTTAGCAGATAAAACAAAACATCTGATGTTCAGATTCTCGTCTTTGTTTCTCTACAACAAAACAAAAGTCTGTTCATGGAGACTTGGGCTCAACTGACAATCTGAAGAAAATAAACAAGAATTTTCAGGATGTGGTTGCTACATTCATGTAGTTTTAAAAAACATGACAATATCAAGTAATCCAAAGTATTCAGATTACGTTACTCACTTTAAGTAATTTATTGGATTACGTTACAAACTACATTTTGGGGTGTGTAATCTGTAATCTGTAGGGGATTACATTTTAAAAAGTCACGTTCCCAACACTGGTTCTTGGGCAAGTCTGTGTGCACTGATGTGTGAATGTGTGAGTGGTTTCTTGTTGTAAAGCACTTTGAGCCTTGAAGGTGGAAAAGCTGTGTATAAAAATGTGACCATTTATTCTACATCAGTAAATGCTAGACTTATTATATTTACTTCATTATTTCATCACAGCAATGCAATTCATTCTGACAAAGTTTTATATATTTTACTTAATTAATTTACATAAACATGACTTCTAACTAAGGATGTAACAATAACTGAAATATCTGTCATGGTTCATGTTTTGTAGTAATTGATTTTGCTTATTTTATCTTTTTCCTGTAGAGTTTTGTGCCTTTGGTGTTTTATTTTGACATTTGTCCTGTCAGCTTCTAGTTTTGAGTTTGACTTGTCTGTTGATTGTATGTGATGTCCTAATGTCTTACTGCTGTATCTGTGTGTTTATAAACCTTTTTTTTTTTTTCGTTTTGTTACATTAAACAACTTAAGTAGTCCTGCATTTTGGGTCCTCTTCTGTGTCAATGGCTGAGTGGTTAGCACTCATGTCTCACAGCATGAAGATTCTGGGTTTGATCCCCGGGTCGCCCGGGCCTTTCTGTGTGGAGTTTGCATGTTTCTCCCTGTGTCTGGATGAGTTTCCTTCGGTTTCCCCCATTAACCCAAAACATGCTACAGGTCTCCAGAACAGTTGATAGTCAAGGTCAATTAAAAATACAATCAATCAATGAATCTGTCCAGTGCACTGGTGCTAGTGGCTAGACACTTGCCTAGTATGAAAGTGGTGTGTAAGTGATGGTGGTGGTCAGAGGGACCGGTGGTGCGCCTCTGTCAGTCTGCCCCAGGGCAGCTGTGGCTACAACAGTAGTTTACCGTCACCAGGTCTAGACTGAATTGATAATGCTGAATGTAATGCTCTGTAAAGTGTCTTTGTGACAAAAATGTCTGTGAAAAGCGCTATATAAATGGGGACTTTCTTACAATATCGTGATATCGTATCGTCAAAGATCTCACAATAATATCGTGGGCTGTCACAGTTTATCAAATCACAAGTTGCTTTGCTTTAATGCAGGTTTTATTGTAGCAACAGTTAAAAATGAGAGTAATGATTCACACCAAAGTCTTGTCAAAGTATTTCAAAAGCAAGAAGTATCCTGCCCACACATTCTTCTTCAAAAGTTCACAATAAATATCATACGTCAGACGCATATTGTAACAATATTGTACCGTGAGATTTGGATATCGTTACATCCATACTTCTAACTTTTAAAAATAGTGAGTCACAATTCCTCAGTAAATTCATGACTGTTTATGGTGGTGCTGAGTGCATTTTACATAATACTGATAAACAGTGTTGGGAGTAACGCGTTATAAAAGTAACAAATTACTGTAATGTGTT